GCTGCTGCATCGCGGAGGGCATTCGTTCATCGGCGGCGTTGCGCGCGGTCTCTCAGAAGCCGCTGCTGCTACTGCTACAATGGCAACTGCTGACGAATGCATGGATGCCCCGCGAAGCCTCTGGTATCCGCGCATGGCTCCGGATCGGCTCAACGCGATGCTCGGGTGCGCTCGACGCGGCAGCCTCCCGTCCCACCCACTTCCCCGTTCTGTCAGACACCGCGATCCGCGAAAGCGTGCGCTGTAAATGAGCTTTTTATCCCACGGACGTGCGTGAAAATGGTTCGGGCTAATGGCTTGTGAGATGCGTTTAACGCATTTTTGTATTCTGACTAATGAGTAAAGAATGTGCACAATTTCACAGCTCGGCAAGACGCGGAGCTGGGTCCTTACTGGGTGTTCTCGACTGTGAAAGCTCTCGAGTCAGGCGGTGTGTACTGGGTTGGACACATCTGCTAGGTTTGCGCTGCTCCCACAGGGAACACGCATCATCGGAGCTCTGTTGCCACAGCTGTGTGAAAAGCCGACCCGAGTAGGGATGGGCCATTCACGGCTCCACCCTGCTCCCAGCGTTTCAAGAGACACGTTGCATTGTGGATTCGGCCCCCTCTCGCTCTATCCCTACCTCTCCCCCCTCGCCTGTCCAAGAAATAACGCATGCCTGGATTGGGTCACACTATCTCAAGCAAATATCTATCGTGCTTTATTGTAAACACGGGTTGCCATTGTGTGACGAAATCCAACAAGGCACAAGCGAGTCCGAGTTCGACTCGCGGTGCGCGCCGTCAGAAGTGGCAAGCGAGCTCGGAACCCGAGTCGGGTTGGCGGCTCGGATAGGGAGCCGTCCATAAATGACGTCACGCGATTTTGGACGATTTTTGACCCCCTCGTCACACGGCGTCACAAAAAGTCAGACCCCCCCCCCCTCAAATATTACGTCACAAAGCTCTGCCCCTCCCCCCCCCCCAAAAAAAATATATAAAACATGCTCCAAATCGCTTTAAACTATTGTCATTGTAGTGCGTATTTAATGTGCCGCTGCACTCTGATGTTGTAGGAGAAAACATTTATTAAAAAGTCTATTTAATTAAGTAGAACGTGTTGTCTATATTTATTAAAAGTCGCGCATTTTGATGTAACGTCAAATTTCTCAAACCACCCCCCCCCCCCCATCGTCACACATCGTCACAAATGTCTGACCACCCGTGACGTCATTTATGGACGGCCCCTAGGACTGGGCTGGGGACCCCCCTCTTGCCCGGCTCACGCACGAGGGTCGCCACGGCATCCATCGGTCACGGCAGCGCGGTATTGGGACTGGAGGGTCGCGTAGAGCTCGCCATCCTCCTGGGAAGCGGACATCCCTACCCCCCCCCCCCCCGACAAAGAGTGCGGCCTCACCGTTAGCAACGTGATTCAGTCCGAGAGAGAGAGTAACCACAGACAATGGCATACCGAAACAGACGTCTGTACTGTCAAAGCGGCACAGACGTTGAGTTCATTTCGTGATATTTAATTAATTGCATGGTGTATAAAACGCAGGAAGACAATTATTTGTATTCCTGCGTTTTGGTTTAGTTTTGCCCCAGCACAGTGGCGCGTATCTTTATTTATTTATTTCCCCCCCCCCCCCCGCACTTCCGATTAGCACGGTTGGCTACGTATGGTGCGGGAAAAGTTCTACATACATACACCATAACAGATTGTGCATCGTATCGCTTCGGATCAGCAAAAAATAAAATTAAAATGGTGCAAATTGCAAGTTGTAATATTGCTCCGCAATGCTTTACGAAGATTAACTGCAGATGTTACTGCACAGTAATTGCTGCTGGCATGCTCTCAACGATATTCACAACTTTATATTCTGCCTACACTTAACTGGAACGCAGACCTTTTTAATGGCTCGGTTGCATGTTTCTAAAACGCGAATTCTCAACAAGGAAAAATTAACTGTCTTAAGAAAACCAATAATGTCGAGTATTTATTTCACAGAAAACTATTTAAAATTTTAAGTTGGATTCTAAACAGGCGGTAAATGTCAAAATATGGCCTCACACGAAATACGAAATTAGAAATTTTAAAACATGTGACTGATCTTTGGCAATGCCTAATTGAAATAAAGAGATCACGTCTATGTGTCACGTGGGGACGTAGATTACTTTGGCTCATCAGAAATTTAAACAGTTAAATCAATTATTTTACGTTCCAGTTGTGGTAGTGAATGTGCTTGCAAATTACCGTCGGCAGAAAAAAAGAGAATGGTGGAGTCGTTCTGCGGTTTAAGCGTTGCCTTGTGCAATGGGACCCTGCTGAATTTCCACCAAGAGCAACATAAAACATTTAGCAGCAGATTATGATAAAGTGGATAAGCTGACACCACATGTAATCACGATTAAACAGGCAGCTGGAAGGCAAAAATTGAATCAAAGCAATATAATCCGCCTGCATTTTTAATTTCAAGGGACGGGCAGAGGGTTATTTGTTTATTCCATTTTTTTTAAAGCAATTTCCATTGTTCCGTGGGAATTCTCTGGCGCGTGTTATATGGAGAGAAAATGTACAATTGTGTAATGATCTCGCATATTGGCGATTTAACACTCTCAGTGATTGCGAAATGCACCTGTTGAACGTGTTTGCTCATTCATCCCTAATTGAAGCAGTGCAAATTATTAAATTTTTGACAAAGGATGCAGGGAGTGTCGCGCATCAACTCGTCGGGAGAGACTGGCGCAAAAAAAAGCTTCTTATGTTTAGAAACATTCTAATTGGACAAGTAAATAAAATTATCACTCAAGAATGAATGCGTGCTGATTTGTGGTGCGGCGATCGGTGCACTGCGCGATGATCTCAGCAACGTGAGTTTCCCAGCCATGGATATCATCAGCAGCGACGTCTGCATGGGTCATGCCCTCAACCCCCCAAACTCCCCCTTTCCCCCTCCTTTACCAATACACACTAACCAATTTGGTGAAGTATGGTCAAACAACCCCCATGACCAACACAACGGGGAGACATTTATCCTGAGGTCAATTGACAAAGGCCTATAAATTATTACGCAAAACAGAATTATGTTAATTACACCACCTTCATAGATCGCATTTTGCAATGTCCCGTGTGTGGCCACGATTGTTATAGCCGCATAACTCTAAAACGCACAGTCGGCCCCGTGATGAGATCAAAGGATTCATCACATGCGCCGTGGAGTAATTAGTTAGGTTTTTTTTTAATGCTGATCTGATTTTGAAAATGTGTGCACAGACACGATGATCAAATCTAAGTTTTTGCATACGTATAGCTTCTGGGCTTTTTTCATTCATTGTGGATACATTCCTTATTTGTGTGCACTAATCAGGGGTATATATTAAAGTTGTTTTTGACCGTATCTGATCACGTAAAATATTTGCATTGCAAATGGTCACTTTGTAATTCAGCATTTCACTTCAATGGAAAAACCACAGCACATTAATTATCATTCAAAAATCAATCAAATGATTTCCTGCTCTAATGAGCTTTGAGGTGCTGCTCATGTCTAAGCCTAAGCCTGTGGCGGAAATACGCATTTCCAAGGCAGGGGCAAGTGTGTCCATATGATCTCTGCTCTTGACTTCCCTCCACAGCGGCACTCGTATTATCTATCCCGAGGGGGTAATCGGCTGATTCAACCATCAACCAGGAATTTGACTCACAACCTTCCGAATGTGAGCCACTCGCTCTACCACTGGGCTGTCGCCTGACCAAAAATGTTAAATGGTGACTGCAGGAATTACTCTTTGGTTCTTTCGGTAAAGTCACGTGACTTTACCGAAAGAACCAAAGAGTTATGTTAAATGGTTTGAAAAGACTGTAATATTAATGCGTGTAAACATCATTATCGTATTGCAACAAAAAATCCCCATCAATTTTAGTAATAAACCTGCAATTGTGACCTTACATTCCCCAACATTGTGCTCACAATGTTTAACTTTTGGGTGATTAATCAGTGTGCACATGAGCCAGTTAGTAAAGTGTGGTTAATTTATTTCTGTCCTAAAGCCAATTTAAAAGTCAATGTTGCTACGTTTTCCCGTCACGAGCTCTCACCTTTCTAACGTAGTTCATGAGATTTATGAGATGCAATCAGAAGTTTGCTATCCAAACAAACCACATCCACTCATTGTTTATTTGGTAACTTATAAATAAACTTTACGGACCTTTTCCAAGGTATTTAGTTATATTTGTATAATAATATATTCTATGGTCTGTGGTTTCTGTGCATGCTTCAATCAACAACCTGGACACCCTTGGAAATTAGATGTTTAATCTCATATCCTGGTAAAATATTTTATCGCGTTTCCATGATCGTGCTGACTGTTTCTAAACTGGCTTCATGATTAATGTCTCCGACCGCGTACAACGATGGTGGCCAGGATGGGATTCATCACTTCGTTAACTGCTGAAAATTCCTGCGGTACTGGCAAAAGCTTGAGCTAGAAATACATGCTCAACCCACACGGCAAAGCCCGGAAGACCGCACTTGGATTAGTTAGCCTTGTTAAAGGGGGAAAGCGTCAGTGCCACTGTCATGTGATGGGTCATTACGATGTTATGCCAAACCCAAATTACTTTGCAGTCACTCTGGCTGGCGTAGTGCCCTCTACCCTAAGGACACTTCTTACTCAGTGTTGTCTTCATCACTGGGGAAAATACCCAACTTGGAATTTTCCTTTGTTGGTAAATTCGCATTCTCCGTTACACATCCAGTATCGCATTGCTGAATGCACTCTCAAGGAATTTCACCAAACAATTCCACTCCAGGTCACATAGCGTGAAGTCACCCATTACAACTAAATGTCCATTAAACGCCACTTTTCCAATTTGCCTGTACGGCTCCTCCCTGACCATCTCATATTACCCGGGTGACCCATTTCAGATTGTAATTAGTACATTGCCCCCCCCCCACCCCCCCACCCCTATATGCCACCATCGTCTCTGGCCAGATCGTCTCATGGAGTTGTGGCGCTTCACGGGTCCAACTTTGTGACCTCGCGCAGGGCACGGGGGCGCTGCTGCCCGTGGGCGAGGGTTCGGCTAACGAGCTGCGCGGAGGCGCCGCCGCAAAATGCCTCCCGGAGCACGGAGAGTCCGTTTCCAAAATAATTAACCACCGTCAAAAAGAAATGTCATACATGACCACGTCTAATACCTCGCGTGGGACATTATCGGGCCAGATCCCAATTTTCCAGATGGGTAACCCAGGTTTTTTTTTTTTATGCGCATTTGCAATCAAGAGCTGGATCATGTTGAGTGAATAAGTGCATAGTCACTGCTGAGCGTGGAACTTTGATTCCAACTAAATTTAGCTTGTGATATAAACACCCACGTTATACAGATGACAAATTTTCCACATGGGACACGTGGATAAGATGTCCATGAAAGTGTCTTCCGGTATAAAGTAATAATAATTGGATGGCGATTTCAACTGCATGTGTATAATATTGGGTTGTTGTATGAAAGAAAAAACGTATGGCAAACAACCAGTATTAAGCAATTATAATTGGATGGCGGTTTCAATTGCATGTGTATTATATTGGGCTGTTGTATGAAAGAAAAAACGTATGGCAAACAACCAAAATTATAATTTCAACCCCGCACAAAATTCACTCGCTCTCGGTCAGAGCGGGGGGAATGAACTGCAGAGGAGGAACCACAGACAAAGGGGAAAAACGGAGTACCTGGGGGAAAAAAACACACGCGTGCGAGAGAACAACACTCTATCCCATACAGACGGAACAGGTGGAGTACACATTTGCTGCACCACCTTCTGGCAAGCCAGGGCAATGCATCTCGATGCCCACAAAGAGCGGAGTTTTCTAACAATGGTGCGGTGATCCAACCCTCGCTCCCTCCCACAGTGCTGGATTCCGGTCAGCCGCCTGCACAGCCACCATCGCCCGTAAAAGCTTCAGGAACTTTCAATCGTTCATTGCAGAAGCGATCGACACAATCGCAGCCGAGATGATGGTGAACATCCTAAACTCAAATTTCGACGCTATCGCCCTGGCGGTCACGTGGAGGTTTCGAGGGAGATGATTCGTACGATCTGAGCTTGCACACTTCCTGGCATGTGCCTGTGTGTGTGTGACTATTGTTGAACAGCGATAGTGTAGCGGTTAGCGCGCTGCGCTATGAACCTGGCGACCCGGGTTCGATTCCCGCTCACGGCCAACACCACCGGTGACGATTATCTGAACCGGTCCCGGGCCTCCCCTAGGTCGACTCAGCCTCAAATGAGTACCTGGTGTGGTGAGTAAACATCGCCACTGGGGAGAATGAGGCGGTTGGACGTGGTGATGGCCACCCCCCTCGTGTGCCATGCCGGTCTAGATAGGTACTTGCTATAACATCACTTCCCCCAACAGTCTGTTAAGGCTGTATGGGGGATCTTTGTCGTTGTTGCGAAATTTAAATCCGTTGAACAATGGACAACACTGTAATGGACGCTCTGCATTCTTAGTTTATTTTATTCTCAGTGTATGTGCTCAGTGTGTTTATAAAGATGCGGCCAGGCGGCTCAGCGTCAGAGCGAGTGGCTCGCTAATCGGAAGCTTGCGAGTTCAACTCCTGGTTGGGGGTTGACTGAGCCCATCATCTTTCCGGGGGTCAATAAAATGTATACAATTTTGTTGGGAAGTCAACAGTGGGACATTGTCCTGTGGATATACTCGCCACCAATCATCATAGCAATATGGAATTTCAACCACTGGCTCTGTCGGGCTGCATGCGGAAGATGAACGCTGCCTCAATGCCCAATTGAGTAGAAAATGACTTTTGTTGCGTATAAAAGACCGTTCATTAAAGACACATTCGCACCATTCAAACAAGATACCTACGCCAAGGCCGTGTCTAATCTCAAGGCAACAGCCGCGCACTGTGCAGGAGGAAGGAGCGCGCTCGCCGCTCGGTGCAGAGCTTCGCGGTTCGACAGTGGACATTAAAGATCGCGTGACATCATTCGCAAAGAGTATGACATCCCACATGACATTGCATGCTGGCGTGATGGTAGGTATCTTAAACGTAAACACATGTTCCGCAAAAATTACCAATTTATGATGCACGTAAATTGGCAAAAAAAATTTAACTTGTCAGAACCCTCCTAAAAGTAGATCGTGAGACTCAATGAGGCTCTCCTGGGTAAACAAGCACAGTAGTAATAATAAAAAAAAATAACGTGACGCACGGGAACGATTCACGAGGAATCGACACGGGGGCGGGGCGGGGGGGGGGGTGCAGGAGGGGGGCAGGGCCGGAGGCACCGGCGACACTCCGAGGGACGCGCGCGCCAGCCACGTCGACGTGGGGAATCAAAGCGTGGTGCGCGTGCCCTGGGTACGCGTCGCGTGGCGTAAGCGTGGGCAAGAGGTGTTGTATAATTACTTAGCCGCGTGAATTATTGCCCTGAAACAAAATGTGGCGATATCACAGACGCGTGGCGGTTGCGATATTGACCGTACAGAATTTACTTTGTTCAACTGCACTGATCAACAATCGGGGCCCTTCATAATTTCGAGCGAGACCAGGTCGGATGCTTCGTGCGAATGCCCCTGAGCGATGTTGGACAACGTTACTTTGAGTTCACGTCTATCCACTGCTGGATTAATGTTTCGCCCCCAGTCAGACGGTGCTGGAGTGACTCTCCCCCCACCCCGCCACCTGAACGCGAGCGCCGTCCTCATCGCTCCGTCTCGGCAGCGGTGGTCCCCCATGAGCGGCTTCCCTCCTTCGGCTGCCATTCCATCGCTGTGGTGACCTTCATTTGACCTCTTGTTACAACGCCTGGGAAGCTGTGGCCGTGACCGCGAGCGGTCGCACCACTGGTGCAGGCTGTTTCTCCGCACCTCCGACGAAGCAAGCTTGTGCTGCTGACGGTGCTTGGGCTACTGACGGTGCTTGGGCTACTGACGGTGCTTGGGCTACTGACGGTGTTTGTGCTACTGACGGTGCTTGGGCTACTGACGGTGTTTGTGCTACTGACGGTGCTTGGGCTGCTGACGGTGCTTGTGCTACTGACGGTGCTTGGGCTACTGACGGTGCTTGTGTTACTGACGGTGCTTGGGCTACTGACGGTGCTTGGGCTACTGACGGTGCTTGTGCTACTGACGGTGCTTGTGTTACTGACGGTGTTTGGGCTACTGACGGTGCTTGGGCTACTGACGGTGCTTGGGCTACTGACGGTGTTTGTGCTACTGACGGTGCTTGGGCTACTGACGGTGTTTGTGCTACTGACGGTGCTTGGGCTGCTGACGGTGCTTGTGCTACTGACGGTGCTTGGGCTACTGACGGTGCTTGTGTTACTGACGGTGCTTGGGCTACTGACGGTGCTTGGGCTACTGACGGTGCTTGTGCTACTGACGGTGCTTGTGTTACTGACGGTGTTTGGGCTACTGACGGTGCTTGGGCTACTGACGGTGCTTGTGCTACTGACGGTGCTTGGGCTACTGACGGTGCTTGTGTTACTGACGGTGCTTGGGCTACTGACGGTGCTTGGGCTACTGACGGTGCTTGGGCTACTGACGGTGCTTGTGTTACTGACGGTGCTTGGGCTACTGACGGTGTTTGTGCTACTGACGGTGCTTGGGCTGCTGACGGTGCTTGGGCTACTGACGGTGTTTGTGTTACTGACGGTGCTTGTGCTACTGACGGTGCTTGGGCTACTGACGGTGCTTGGGCTACTGACGGTGCTTGGGCTACTGACGGTGCTTGGGCTGCTGACGGTGCTTGGGCTACTGACGGTGCTTGGGCTGCTGACGGTGCTTGGGCTACTGACGGTGTTTGTGCTACTGACGGTGCTTGTGTTACTGACGGTGCTTGGGCTACTGACGGTGCTTGTGCTACTGACGGTGTTTGTGTTACTGACGGTGTTTGTGCTACTGACGGTGATTGGGCTACTGACGGTGCTTGGGCTACTGACGGTGCTTGGGCTGCTGACGGTGCTTGGGCTACTGACGGTGCTTGGGCTACTGACGGTGTTTGTGTTACTGACGGTGCTTGGGCTACTGACGGTGCTTGGGCTACTGACGGTGCTTGGGCTACTGACGGTGCTTGGGCTGCTGACGGTGCTTGGGCTACTGACGGTGCTTGGGCTGCTGACGGTGCTTGGGCTACTGACGGTGCTTGGGCTACTGACGGTGCTTGTGCTACTGACGGTGTTTGTGTTACTGACGGTGCTTGTGCTACTGACGGTGCTTGGGCTACTGACGGTGCTTGGGCTGCTGACGGTGCTTGGGCTACTGACGGTGCTTGGGCTGCTGACGGTGCTTGAGCTACTGACGGTGCTTGGGCTACTGACGGTGCTTGGGCTGCTGACGGTGCTTGGGCTGCTGACGGTGCTTGGGCTACTGACGGTGCTTGGGCTACTGACGGTGCTTGGGCTACTGACGGTGCTTGGGCTACTGACGGTGCTTGGGCTACTGACGGTGTTTGTGCTACTGACGGTGTTTGTGCTACTGACGGTGCTTGGGCTACTGACGGTGCTTGGGCTACTGACGGTGCGAAAGAAGTGCGGCATGCGCGTGCATTGCATTCGGCCGCAACGCTCCAGCCCTGCCTGCCACATCGCGTATCCGCACATCGGTGATGTGCACACGGAGTGATGCGTACCCAACTGACTGACCGCAGCAGAGGAGTTTGGGGCCGTCCATAAATGACGTCACGCACCTGGGGGGGGGGGTCAGACATTTGTGACGATGTGTTGAGAAATGTGACGTCACATCAAAATGCGCAACTTTAAATGAATATAGAATTGTTATAACAACACTAATTGTTATAACAACACTCTTACAACATCCATCAGTGCAGCGCCACATTAAATACGCACTACAATGACAATAGTTTTAAGCGATTTGAAGCATGTTTTATTTTCAAAATGGAAATATGGTTTTGGGGGGGGGGGGGGCAGAGCTTTGTGACGTCATATTTGAGGGGAAGGTCTGACTTTTTATGACGCCGTGTGACGACGGTGGGGGGGGGGGGGGGGTCAAAAATCGTCCAAAATCGCGTGACGTCATTTATGGACGGCCCCTTAGTGCCATTGCATGCGGACGAAGTAAACCTCCGGCCCGCTTTGTGGATTCGAATGCATTTCTTTGGCAAAGATGGGGCAATGCGGCGCAGATTTATTCAAACGCTAACGTTCAATTTGAACATATCAAGCCGCAGTTAGCGCCGTTACTTTTTCGGGAGCGGTGTGATGTCAAAGATGAGTTGAAAACAAAAATGTAGGGTTTGCTCCCCACGTTTGATAGCTGCTCGAGGCCGTCGCATAAATCCGACCCGTTTTACTGCAGAAGATGTTAAACCATCGCACGCCGCCGTAATGCCGCGTGGCAACGCCTTAATTAATATGAAAAAAATTCATACAATTACCCAAGTTCCCGCACTCGTATTGATTAATTATGCACAGTAATGAAAGCAATTATATGACACCTTGGAGCGATTTCCCATTTTTTGTGTGGCTGCTGGTGTGCACAGTCCACAGATCTCTGTTATGTATTTTTTTGGGATGGGGGAAATGAATTATACATTTTTTTTTATTTAAATAACAGAAACAGAAACACTTTTGTTCTTGCCAGACTATGCAGAGGGCTCTGCAGCAGAATTGTGCAGCCGTTAATCTATGATGCCCGGGCAGGCTGGCACGCGCACACACACACCTGCACACACAAAGACAGAGATCCCCCGTGTAGCCTTTAACAGACTGCTGGGGCAAGTGCTGTAAGGGAGCATCTATGAAGACCAATGCGTCGCACAAGGCGGTGGTGTGGACAGCACCATTCCTGGCCGCCTTTGCTTCCCAATAGTGCCAATGTTCACACACCGCACCAGGTATTCATTTCAGACCGAATAGACCGATGGGAGACCCAAGGGGAGGCCCGGTTATGATTTTTTGTCACTGATGTTGACCGTGAGCGGGAATCAAACTTGGGTCGCCAGGGTCGTGAGATCGGTGCAATAACCATTGTGCTGCCGCTCTGCACACACGCGCACACGCACGCATGCCCACACACACGCACACGCAGCATCTTCTAACTCCGAGAAGACGGGCATCCAAAGCCATCAAATTATACATTGCTCATGGCCACATGGTTCTTGACTACAAAAGTCTTTCAACAATAACACGCCGCCAGTGCTATAATAATAACAACACGAGCACACACTTCACTGCTGCTGCTGCTGACGGCAGGAGCTGTCCCTTGACGCTGTGCTGGTGCAACACTTCGTGACTCTGTGCTGGTGCCTACTTCGTGACTCTGTGTTGGTGCCCACTTCGTGACTCTGTGCTGGTGCCCACTTCGTGAGTCTGTGCTGGTGCCCACTTCGTGAGTCTGTGCTGGTGCCCACTTCGTGACTCTGTGCTGGTGCCCACTTCTTGTCTCTGCGCTGGTGCCCACTTCGTGAGTCTGTGCTGGTGCCCACTTCATGACTCTGTGCTGGTGCCCACTTCATGACTCTGTGCTGGTGCCCACTTCGTGACTCTGTGCTGGTGCCCACTTCGTGACTCTGTGCTGGTGCCCACTTCGTGACTCTGTGCTGGTGCCCACTTCGTGTCTCTGTGCTGGTGCCCACTTCGTGACTCTGTGCTGGTGCCCACTTCTTGACTCTGTGCTGGTGCCCACTTCGTGACTCTGTGTTGGTGCCCACTTCTTGACTCTGTGCTGGTGCCCACTTCGTGACTCTGTGCTAGTGCCCACTTCGTGACTCTGTGCTGGTGCCCACTTCTTGACTCTGTGCTGGTGCCCACTTCGTGTCTCTGTGCTGGTGCCCACTTCGTGACTCTGTGCTGGTGCCCACTTCTTGACTCTGTGCTGGTGCCCACTTCGTGACTCTGTGTTGGTGCCCACTTCTTGACTCTGTGCTGGTGCCCACTTCATGAGTCTGTGCTGGTGCCCACTTCGTGACTCTGTGCTGGTGCCCACTTCGTGACTCTGTTCTGGTGCCCACTTCGTGACTCTGTGCTGGTGCCCACTTCATGAGTCTGTGCTGGTGCCCACTTCGTGACTCTGTGCTGGTGCCCACTTCGTGACTCTGTTCTAGTGCCCACTTCGTGACTCTGTGCTGGTGCCCACTTCATGAGTCTGTGCTGGTGCCCACTTCGTGACTCTGTGCTGGTGCCCACTTCGTGACTCTGTTCTGGTGCCCACTTCGTGACTCTGTGCTGGTGCCCACTTCATGAGTCTGTGCTGGTGCCCACTTCGTGACTCTGTGCTGGTGCCCACTTCGTGACTCTGTTCTGGTGCCCACTTCGTGACTCTGTGTTGGTGCCCACTTCGTGACTCTGTGTTGGTGCCCACTTCGTGACTCTGTGCTGGTGCCCACTTATTGACTCTGCGCTGGTGCCCACTTCGTGACTCTGCGCTGGTGCAAACTAATTCAGCGCGCATCTCGCCGCGTCCGTTTCACCCTTCAACTTTGACGTCCTGTCTATAATTGACCAAAATACCAATTTGCACGTCGCCAGATGGGTGTGAGGGCAAAAGTAAAACATTAAATATGTTTTCCACGCGAGCCACACCAACTGGAGAAATCCGCGGCATATAAAATTTAATGGGGCTACGGAAAGATGATTTAATTTTATGGAAAACATGCACAGCGCCTGACCCAGGACGGTAACAGACGCCGTTCAATTAAAATCATTAGTCCGTGAAAACCTCAAAATCCCAGTAATTAGGTCCAATATAAACACATGGCTCCTGTACCCATCCTCGGGATGTACGTTTCCAACACAATGCACGGTGCACCGAGGCCGAGCATAAGGCCCTGACCGTTTCTCAGCCAAGTCCTCGTCTTTAATCAACGCGCGTTTTGTTGTTGTTGCTGCCAACTTCCTCCAGATGCGCGGCTCTGCCCGTTCAACGTCTTCCATTGGTGACCTCATCGCCTCGGCCGCGTGGTCATCGTGGCACGCCACTCCCCACCGTTATTCTGAGCTCCCCCCCCGCTACGAGCGGTGCGAGTGCGATACATGACAGAGGAAGTGGCCTCAGCTGCCAGCCACCAGCCAGAGGGGACGAAGGGACGCGCCAGGATCCAGAAATCTCGGCCAAGAGTGGGGGGTTACTGTGATTGCCGTGTTAAACGACCGAGCGCTCTCCCGTGTTGTTTTCGAGTCGTTCGGCAACGAGGTACGACGTTTCAGGGACAGCGTATTCAGTCCTCCCCGATTCGCGAGTGAATATTCGGTCGCTGAAGAAGATCTCAACACGTGGAGAGAACATGTCCGCACACCGTGCCCCGTACAGCGTGCGTTAACCACCTCCCCGGATAACGCTTCAAAGAGCTGTGCAGCGCAACTGTCGCGATATCCACGACCATGCGAGCGTCTCGAATTCACATTTCTTTTCACACGCGTAATTCGTATCCCTGGGGGGGGGGGGGGGGCGGGGGGGGAAGGGTGGTGATGTGAATATTTGTTCCTAACAGTGAACATTTTAGCGGTTCGGGTTATGATCAGGCTTACGAATGGGGTAGGGTTAGCTTGTTAGGGTTAGTTACTGGCCAGAAAGGTAATTTAAAAAAATATCTATTGGTGAGAACAAAATTAGGCCCATACCGAATCAGAATATGTATTCATACTGGATGAATCCGATGAGCTCTAAAGCTCTGTTTCGCAGACGTCCAGTCGGGGTGGGTAAGAACGCGACAACAACAAACAGTACAAACACGATAGGAGTGCAAAGTACAAGAAAGGTAAACAACTCACCCAAACACATACTAATAAAACGAACCCATCCCCATCCTCCCAGGAAAAGCCCAAAAAGAGTATAAAAAATATCAGACCATGCCCAAAGCCAGTGGAGCAACCGCTAACAAACAAACAAAAGTTTGGAAAGTGGTCCTGTATGTGTGGTTTTAGTTAAAAGTGGACGATAGCGTACCTATGGGCAGAAAAAAATTACTTTGTAAAAAAAAAAAAGGTGGAACCGATATCCATATTCCTGCGTGTTGGTTCTCAGGGCGAGCAAATTCGCGGTGGGGGGGGGGTTTGGGGGGGTGGGGTGGGGGGTTTGGGGGGTTGGAGGAATGGGGGGCGTTCTCGCGGACACCGCCACCGTTCTGCCCCTGACCCTGTGGACCGCTGGTCCAGCTGCCCATTTCGCAATCAATAGCGATTGAGTGGCAGTCAACGGAGAAAAGGTTCTGGCAGGCATTAAAGTCCAAAATGGATTAAAGTAAAAGTTTGAGCGTCTACCGCTGGGGGCAACAACAGGATTTTCTCACTTGGCCTTTAAGAAAGTAAATAAAAAACATAAACAAAGTAGGGGCAAAATAGATAATAAAATGAGCCGCACATTTTCATACCAGTCAGCAGTTGCTCTGCCAAGGCAGCGTTACAAAATTCACCGGAGGCACCTCCGCCGCAGAAACCAACGCCACGATTTTACACTTATATCAAATTATGTTTAATGATTTTTATAATAAAAATGTCCATCATGAATCAGATTCCGTGCCGTCCGTCTGTGTCGGTGTTTGATTGGTACTGAAACAAAATTCAGAGGCGGCTTGCAAGAGGGGAGAGTTTAAGTGCTCAGCTGTCGGAGGCACAAAACCAATTTCACTTTGGTCCACAGTCGACTTGATTGCTGCAGGATCAGCGGAGTTCGCCAACCAATTTTGCCTTGTATTTATTTCACTCGAAGGATGCGGAAAACAAGGCGAGCGCGCGCCTCTTGCAGCGTTAGCAGAAAGGAAAAAAAACCCTAAATCTAAATGTTATCTTATGACAAACGCAACCACGGACACAATGAGCGTCCCCCACGTGCGCACATGGAGAACGGAGACGAACAACAAACAGCCCGACTCGAAGCTCGCGAGCCACCTGCAAATAACATTTCTCCAATGGACTCATCTTGATGACGGAACCTCTTTGTGCTTCGCAATCACCGCTCCGCAGAACACGCTTTTGACTCGCTGGCGAATCATCCCTACGGATGTCAAATTCTGCATGGAGAGGAATCGAGGAAACGAAATTCACCGTGCAACCCCCGCCACCCCCGACGCAGCAGCATCTCGTAATCTCTTAAGGGCAAAGAAAGGTCTCATTACCATAAGGCCGCTGCCATATATTTCTCCCCGTTACAGGAATCAGAGGCACTGCGGGAGCCAGACGGGAGCAGTATCCTTGGGGGGAGAAGTTGCCAAGTCCTCTGGGGCTGCTCCACTTCAGTAGCTGACTTAATCTGCGCCGCTTCGACCGCAGCAGCAACAAGAAGAAAAAGCCACCGTGGCCACCGCTCACTCATTGGCGTCGTGCAAAGAAACATTCCAAATTGCGCGCCTGCCGACGAGCTCACCGCGAAGCAAATCGCTTTCGTCCGTTGGCACATTTCGCGGCATCGCGCATGGCCAAGTAGCACCCCGACACCGGGGCTAAATCTGTCCTGAGGCCAGATGGGCCAAGCCAGCTGCGGCCACGCATCTGTAACGAAAAAATAATATATCAGAGAGCAATGAACTTCCTAACGATCCATGCCCTGAATATTTTAAAGGTTTCTGTTTTACATTAGCGCCCCTCTACGTTCACGCTGCTGTTTAATAGAGAACGGAATCGTCTTTTCGCCCAACACAAAAAGAACGAACGAAGCAATTTGCGTTTATGCTTCCTTTAAAAATGTGTCGTTATCTGTTGCACTTTTATGGCTCCTGCGAATGCTTCACGACGGCGCCTCTTCACTCGCGCGAGAGGCCCGCAGTGTTCGCTCTGGGCTTCGTGTCCACTCATAAGGAAAGACAGGAATCGTCCTGCTGCTGCTGCTGTGTCTCGTAACCCTGAGCATCCCCATAGAGTCTCTGATGAAGTGCTCTACAAAAAAAAACCTCCACTTTATTCTTTCAAAACACGTCGACGCATTCGTCAATTCTCGCCGCACGGGAGATTGCATCCGTTTGGCGCGATCCGCGTGCGAATAAAAAATAAAATATTTATACCCTACTCTGGGTTGTGTGTGGTTCTTTTTTTTCTAAACAAGAGGGTACCCTTATTATTAAAGCATCGGGAAATCTACAAAAATTCAGCTCAACTGCCCAGATATGACCTGCAATGAATAATACAGAGGCAAAGGTGCGAGGCTGCTGCTTTTGCTGCTGCTCATACTTGCAGCTGCACTGGGTTCTGCTGCTCCTGATTCTGCTTACTGCTGATGCTGCTACTTGCTGATCCTACTGCTGCTACTTGCTGATCCTACTTCTACTTGCTGATCCTACTTACTGCTGCTACTTGCTGATCCTACTTACTGCTGCTACTTGCAGATCCTACTTACTGCTGTTGATTGCTGCTGCTCCTGTTGCTGCTTGCTGCTGCTGCTTGCTGATCCTACTTACTGCTGCTGCCTGCTGCTCCTGCTGCTGCTGCTCCTGCTGCTACTTGCTGATCCTACTTACTGCTGCTTGCTGCTACTCCTGTTGCTGCTTGCTGCTCCTGCTTGCTGCTCCCCCTGCTGCTTACTGCTGCTGCCTGCTGCTCATACTTACTGCTGCTGCTGCTGCTGCACGGGTGAGCCGGCTCTGTCTTTCTTCTGATCAAACCCCTTCGGGGGACCGCCGTGACCGCTCCGCAGGGCTGCTCCGCGTGGGGACAAAAGCGCGTTTTATCCTAAATTTACAGGTTAATTTTCAGGGCGCACACGTGCCATCTATCTGATTCTCGTCACCTTCTATCGGAACAAAAGACTCCTGTGGATTTAATGTTTCATAGAGCACTTCATGCAATAAATGTCATCTTGCCTAGAAAAATGCCACGTGCGCGCAGGCGCATCTAAGCGTTCCGCTCACGCCCCAAACGCTAACGGCAGACAGTTTAGCCGCGCGGTTTTCACTGGGCGCAGGATGGAACTTGCTAAATCCAGAGAGAAAACCACGATCTGTTTTTTTTTTTCTTCACGCTGCTACATTTAAACAGATGCTTTGAAGCCTTTCCCCCCCCCCCCCCCCCAGACATAAAACAGCATGCGATAAAAGAGTGATGTAATTTCCACAATGAAACGAGGATGCGCAAAATCAATCTGTACAGTCAGTGACAAACAGATTTTTTTTTTCCTGCCGAGTAGTGCGATGATGATGATGATGACGCTCATCTCGACGAAACGTCGGCGTGATACGGCCAACACGGACACCACTCCACCCACGGCCTTTTGAGGACGCATTGCGCAACGTTGTGTAATTATACGTGTAATAAACTCACAATCCGCGAAAAATTAGGCCAAAATATCGCCCAATTATTTGTAACGCATCGCCTGAATGCCATCATGCAAATCCGCACGCAATTTTTGCATAAATACAAAGGCGAATTCCCGCTGCACTTGCTGGGCGCACTGTAGCCAATTCATTAATGAGCTCCAGTCTGCGTGAAATAAATTGCTTTTGAACATGCAAATGAGGGCACGCTAAATATAAACGTGTCAACCTGTAACGCCGGAAGCAAAACCGCACGAGAAGTGAGTGAGAGAGGAAAAATCACGAGAAAGTCGCCTCCTCAGTCCAACAGTTCCTTGTTTGGCGGAGTGAGATGTCTCCGCGTTCGTCATTTACATAATTGTACGCACGCCGCTTGGGTAGCCTGAACCGGGGACGCACAGCGAGAGAAATGAATCGCAGGTTTGGGATTGAGGTCGCTATTGGCTTGGACAAAATTACTCCAATTAAACCTTCAGGCACCGCCTCTAACGATGTCGTGGGGCTGTGACTGGGCCCGAGTGTTGATCAGGGGCTTGTGGCAGCCGAGGGGATGTTCGGCCCCTATATTTGACCACGGACCGTATCTGCTCGCATATTCCAATTAACGGCTCCATAAAGCACAGCCCTTTAATTCACACTCACCGCCGAAACGCTGCTAATTGTGCCGTGTTGCTGCTGCTGCGGTCAGGGGCAAATAAATTAATTTTCATTTCAAACAACGGTGGGCTGCTTTGGAAAAAAAACTTTCACGTTTTTACCGCGTGTTGACGTGAATTAAATAAAGACCCGTTTATCCTAGCATTCGGTGCGGTTAACTTAGGCTACGTTTAAATAATAATAATAACATAGGGTCATTGGTCAATCCGCTACATGGGGGTTGTTTAACCACACTTCACCATGCAGGTCAGTGCGAGATTATGAATCTAGCACAGGACCGGTTTAGATATCACTCGCTACTGTTTGTTAGCCGTGATCCGGAATCAAACTCAGGTGGCCGGGTCCATAGCTTAGTGCCAACCACTGCCTCACCATTTCCCCGCATGAACACGGTGCAAAAAAAAATCCACGTGCATTTGCATACTACTTATTATACACATTTATCCAATGAAATAACCAGCTCAAGTATTTTAAATATTTAGCGCATTATTTACATTACATGAACCTCAGTAAGTGATAATGAAGCTGTGTTAATATGAAACTGGTGTCATTAAAGCAATTAACTCGCATGCTCCCCCTACCCCCATCACTTTCACCTTCCTCTCCCTCATTCCTACGAATCCGGGCCTCCCCATTTCCCCATTGAACTCCGCGCAAGGTCGAAGCGGCAGTCATCAGCATCCCTTTGCTTCTGCCGAGCAGGTCAAGGATTTTACGCGATGGCAGATTAGGCCAATTCATTGCGGGTAATGGCATGTCGCGCTGAGTGAAACGCACACCTCCAAGCGTGCGTAAACCTTAACCTCCTCCGCCGTAACGCGACACATTTCACGGCTGCGCACTGGGCTCGTACGCTCCTCCCCCACCGAGGAGAGACTGCGCGAGGGATCGCCCGAGAGCTCTCCGTTGCAAAGTTGACGCGTGCCGCTGCATAAGCAGGCATCTTTTATTTTTATTTGGGCGCGAGCCGACTGACGTTCGGCTCAATAACACGTCGCGGCGCGACGTTCGTTACCAAATCGTTCCGCCATTGATGAATCGACAATTTGCTATTTGATGCCGGGCTTGGATCAGCATAGTTTGCTTTGGCTGTCGGATGCTGTAGGTTAATTTCAAGGCGTCGTTTCAATAGGAAATGCCATTTCAGTTCCTGTCTTGAATAATTCATCAAACGGGTATATGGGGGGATATTGATGAGTGGATGATCAATAGAGCAGTGTGCAGACAGTAAACCTAATCAAAATTGACTGAGGTCGCTTCACGCTCGCTTCTTGCGAAAAGAAAAAAAAGCAATCAGTGATTACAGCAAATGTAAAGCTTATTTCTAAATGCAGTTCCCTCTTCTCAGCTCATCTTCCTTCCAGGGTCGACAAAATAGGCATCACTTCGTGGGAACGTCAATGGTGGCTGTCCTACTGATAGACTTGTCCCACAATAGAAATGTGGAGATTCTACGACTCAGGGCACCCGCTTAACACCTCATTTGAGCAGAAGGAAATCACTCAGACTTGGATTGACGTCTTTTCTCCGCAAACGATCAAGGTGCGCGTATGAAGGCGGAGAGTGCAGAATGTATACGCGGCTTAGTAGATGCCCAGAATAGATGTTAATGCATTGCATGACAGCTAGCCTCAACGCTCGCCTGTTAAACTTTTCATGTTACGTGTTGACGTTTCGATGTAATAGTAGCATGCCTATAGGGGCTGGCAATGTAAGGCCGAATTAAGTGCTAGAGCTCTTAGTGACATACATTTTCAAGGTCACTTGTTGAGGTAAAAAAATATATATATATATTTCACCCGTAAAAAAAAAAATTATCAACGCTATACGTTATAGCTAAATTATCAGGGAGACATATGCGGCTATTCTTGGCTATGCAAAAATTCATCGCCGGCCTCAGTAGCGACGACAAAAGTGTCCCCGTGATAGATGGCTGCTGTGATTTTCAAGGAGGTTTTTCTTGCACGACTGCCTGGCCACCACGGAGACTCGCCGCTGAGGCGCACCAAGGCCCCGCGGCCCGGGGTGGCGGGGGAGGGTGAGTGGGGTTGGGGTGGGGGGTTCCAAGGCGGGCCCCGCGCTGTCCGCTCGCTGCCCGCGGGCCCTTGCGCGCCTCTCCTCGGGCGCCGCGCGGCTTAACGCGACGCTGACTCCCGCGGAACGCTTTCGAGCCCCCACACCCCCCACACCCCCCACACCCCTTTCCCCAATGTGGAGACGCGCGACTCGAGGAGGTACCGCAATGGGTGGCGCGCGCAGCTACGGCGACGCGTCCCGGTGCGTCGTGAAAGTGGCGATATCCAGTCGAGAGCGTCGCGACACGCGGAGCGAATGAACGGCCAGAGGGCTTGAGCACTTCTCTGGACGCGGAGGGAAAATTCCTCCAGCCTGCCGTACGACTGTGGCATCGCCAGCGGCAGCAGCAGCAGCTGCGCCATGAGCCGTGCACACGCTCACACCTTACTAACCAGACAGCGGTGATGTTTAACAGTGCCAGACATTAACTGTCACGAGTTCAGCTTCTCGCACATGATTTACTGGGTTGTCGTAATATTATTTAGCTATTCAATACAATGCCAGAAAGGGTGAAACATATTTTTACTTTTCATACGGTGGTACTGGCAAAAAAAAAAAAAACTTCCATGATATAGCTGCTGAACCCGAGCTATACATGCTCTGATACGGGTATTGTCTTTGCCTTTTGACGTTCTCCGGTCTGACACTGGTGCCACTGGGCCATGAAGGAGGCTGTCTCTGGTGTAGGCCAATCAGTTTCAAAGACAATGCATCGTTTATTATTAGAGCGTGTTTTGTTTGCATGTTCACCACAAGTACCGTGTGGTTGCAAGAGGCTTCTATTGAACGTTTGAACATCTGAACACCTCCTGTTGTATTGCCATAAAGGGTCAAACCCTTCCTTATTTTTCACACTATGACACTTACAAAAAGAAGTACCCTTGATATAATACAATGCAATACAAATTGTCACGATATGGCAATAATCGCGACATCGCTTTCCTACAACTTTCTAATTTGTATTTCACGGTATGCATTGTTGGGATTTGCTTGTGCTCCTGCTATGAATACAAATGACTTGGAAAAACTTTCTTGTCGGATGCATTTCACTCAACATGTTAATCCTTGCAAACGTCTTCTAATCATTCCATCCTTTCCGCGCATGCTGTCGGTCGCACAGAAAATAATTAAATAATTGTGCGCTCTACTCCGATACGTGTGGCGTAGCCATCAAGCCGCCCAGATCCTCTGAAATACGTTTTGCAAGGCACTCGTTTAATGGCCAAGGGCTATTTGCTTAGACATTTTCATTAATTATTGTAAACTTTATCTATAGTCCGTTAACGTTTCGTCCAAGAAACAAAACTGTACTTTCAAAATATAACGATCGACGACAATCGTGGTATAACGATATTTGGCAGAAATACAATCGTCGCGGACGTTATCACGTGGAATATATACAAAGTCGTCAACATTAGCAGAAGCAGCAGCCATGGTCAATCCACTGCTAGACGAAGGCCTCCCCAAGCGGTCGGCCACCTTTCACGGTCTCGCGATGCGACGAGCCACCGGGCGCCCTGCGACGAGAGCGCGTTTCGTTGCTCCATCTCCGCAGTTGAGGTTCCTCTTACACGCCCTTTGAGGATGCATATCGTGCGATATACGGGTGAGATAGTGCACGCGTATTCGTTTTCATGGAAAGCCGGCGGTGGCGAGCGAGAGGGAGAGCGAGAGAGCTGGAGACAACAATGACAAATTTATGCGCAGGAAACGCATCCGCAGAGTGAAGAATCTCCATAACGGACACACGCGCGCGCGCGCACACACGGGCAAAATGCCACTGCTTGGTCAAACCGAGCACGCAGACCATTATCTAAGGGACAGTGAAGGAGGCTTGCGCCGGTGAACACTGGCTGTGGAGGCAAGTGGGCGAGACGTGATGACTGGCCAGCCACCCACCGCACAGCACAGAGCGCTCGGTCACACACTCACTTGTATCTGCCCTCGCCAATAACCACTTTGGCCATTATTGGGTGATTTGATTTAAGCAGGGGTGAATATTTCCAAGCATGGCTGAGCCTTGGATAGAGCGTGGATGGACGGCCCCCGTGCATAGGCAAGTGCTCGAGGTTGCGAGGCCAAGTGGTGGGCAGCAGAGGACTTTGCGGCAACATCCATGGTTGTAATGCACCTCTATGCTCCCACGTCTACCAGCCTCGCAATAGAAAAGCAAAACAGATCCGTGACAGGTATTATAGATATTGTGTTGATGTAGACGTCTGGGGTAGCCAGGGTAACGTAGATTGTTTAATACTTTGGCTTTCGCGACCCATATCATCCGTAATATAGTTGTTTTGGGTTAGATCGCTTAAATATAAATGCGCCGTTAAACCCGCCACCACCCGACACAGCCAATTAGTAAGATTTGTCACGTAAACAGAACACGCCAACTAGTAACGAATTGGCATGTTCTGTTTACGAACTGGCTGCGTCGGGTTGTGGCGGGTTTAACGATGTATTTATATTTACGCGATCTGACCCAACAAACCTCTATAATGAGTAACGTAGACTTTGAAACGCAACGTATATGAGAAATCGCGCCAGAGACGCCATCCTATTACTTTGCGACGCAGCTCACGGGCGACACAAATGGCCGGCTCTATTATCCACTTATAATTATAATAATTGGATTAAGAGCCGGATTAACAGTGAAAGGTGAATGCGTTTGCTCGCTTTGTTCCCTTTGTTTATAACGACTGCGCTGTGATCTTCAAATGTGGAGCCGTGGCGGAGTCGCGAGACGATGCCAGCGAATACGTTGACGGGCTCCGACAATCTTTTTCAATGCCCTTGGCTTTTCTATTCTTTTCTTTTCTACCATTCCGCTTTTTCTGCGGCGTAGCAAGCCAGAATTTCGGCAAGAGGGCGAATGCCTTCAGTGAACCAGACCTCTTGATTATCTGCGACGGAGCTCGGCGCAACAAGACGTGAGCTCAGCAGTTCTTTAAAAAAAAACAATCGCCATAAAATCCACGTCCTTGAATCGTATGTTACGTAACATTCTCACAACACGGTTTCTCAATGGTCTCAATAACGGGCAGAGGTGCTGTACACTTGGCGACACAATAATGCGACACGGTGCCGGGTAATAACGAACCACGGTTTAACTTCGCCCACCTCTGCTCCAAAGAATTAACCGTGTCACATTAATAATTCCCGAGAGCTTACCGGAAAAGTCACATTATTTTGCGCGTGGAAACTTTCATTGCGTACGCTGCATAATAAACGGACGGAAATATTCGCAATATCAAGGACATTCATTGAATGTATGTCTGTCGATCTTCTTTCGCATAGTACGTAGCCAGCCGTACGAATAGGTTGGCTACGTAGGGACCCTTTGGTTTCCCTCCGCCTTGTGCGCTCCGTAGCTCATCCGTCAATCAGATGGGCACGCGACGTCCTTCTGTAACGCCGTCTCTGCGTGGCATTTCACGAAGAGCATCGTTGCCATTTCTATATGGTAACGTTACCAGCAAAAAGTAGCATCCATTCCGTAAAAATAGCCAAGTCAAAATATTTGGATCTCAACACTCGACATTAATTGAATAGCAGCAGTAACCCGCTGCTTGCGTTGAAATCTACATCCAAATATTGAAAAACAAACTAAAATAAATGCAGTACTGTGCTTAAAGATGCATTCCCTTTGCAGTAGGGCGTAGATGCAAGACTCCATTCCATCTGGCCACTGGAAATCCGAGCCACACTTTAATTGCCACTTTACAAGACTCCATTCCGTCTGGCCACTGAAAGTCCGAGCCACACTTTAATTACCACTTTACCGCAATGGACCACCCCCAGCATACGTTTCCTTTCATTCCGCATGCCACCGAAAAGTGCATTTACATTCCGGCACAGATTATACTGCTCAACATACAGACAGCAGCTTCATCAACTGCGGCGTCTTCTTTCTCGCTGCCGAGGATGCGAAGCGAGGAAGGGGAAAAGCGAGTGAGAGCGAGCGAGCGAGCGAGTGAGCGGCAGAGAGGGTATTCATGGCAGTTGAGCTGTGCAGTGAAACGTGCGAGAGGGATTAAATATTAATAGCGTTCTGTGTTTGGCAAGCTCCAGGTTCTCAACACATGGCACCTGAAAGAACTGAGGCAGTGCGCACTGTCGGTACCGTAGCGCGCATATGTTCCGGTACGAGGAGTCGCTAAAAATCAGATCGAGAGTGAGTGTGTATTGTCAGTAGTAGTATGAGGGGTATGAGAAGTAAGAGGAGTATTATTACCGCTTGCGCTGCGCGAAATAAAATTAACCCGCGACGGGGGATGGTGGGGCGCTGCATTGTTAAACATAACAATGCTCCCCTGCTTAGGACTCGGGTGAATATCGTCACTCGGAGTCAACACTAATTTTCGTATTATCGCATTTTTAGTTGGCAATACCCTTTGCAATACCCTTGTGCTTTCTGCTGACAAGTTGGTAGCAATAATTAATGCATACGTGGTTACATTTCAATGAATATAAAAAATGCATCGTCCACCTGCACGCTTGGATTCTTTGCCTAAAAATATGAACCGCCACAATCAATGCAAACTTGCAGCAAAATATCTTAACCCGTTCCAATGTAAGAACCTCAGCCACCACAGCCAGTTCGGGGGGTTACGCAATCTCCTATTTTCACGTTCACCGCGCAAAGACGGCTCTATGGCTCAAGTCCCCCCACTGCCGCCGCCATCCCATCTGAACTCGCTCCCACCCACTTCACATGAAAGCGCCGTGCGAGAGTTCTTGAGACAAGACAGTGACTTCCCTCTCGCCTTCCTGTCAAACACGCATCAGTGGAACTGGCCAAACATTCCGCTGCGGGACCTTGCTGAAAAAAAGGGTCTTGAGATTCAGCGAGCCTCTACCGGATAAAGGGAGGGCGTTATTAGAACCGTTGTAGTGTTTTTTTGGTGACACCATTGCAAAATGCAGTTTAACATTACACCAAGGACTTAGACAATACAATACGCGTCGCCGCCATCGCCATCATCAGCAGCAGCCGCCATTAATCCACTGCTGGGAGAAGGCCTCGCCAAGCCGCCTCCTTCTCTGACAATCTTGCGACGCATTAATCCACCAAGCACCTCCACGTAAGCCAATTCCATCACTCGCAATGCACATTGGGACGATGCATTTCATCACGGGCGGACGTCAACCACCGGCTTAACGAAAGCATCGGCGCCGAACTGCCTCACCGCCAGGGGAGCCGCCCCGCGGCCTTCGCGTGCGGCCCCACGACGCAACAACGAGTCCAGACTCAACACGAGCCAGACAACATCGTGACCCGCAGGGCGCGTGCAGGGCACCGAATGCAACGACAGCGACAAAAAAAATAACGCGACGACACAAATGGGGCGCGCGCGAGAGGGCC